AATGATGCCATATTGAAACCGAGGCACTTGTGTTTTTGAAAAAAATTAGCATGCGAATTTTCACTTGTACAGTACGAGTTAACAAAGTACATTGTTAAAAACACTCTTCCTTTGTGGTTTGCTTTATTGATTCTTCACAGCGAAATGCTAAACTAAGCTGACAAGTTTGACACATGGCTGACTCTCCATAGTAATCCACTGGACGTCCGTTTTAACATGATGGGGCAGTCGTGTATGGGTTTACTTGGACTTATTGATTTTAAACATGCACCATGTTAGATGGATTGCCAATACAAACCAAAAACTCCAGCCAAGAAAAGATTCATTCAGCGCTGTTTAACATTCAGCCCACGAGTGCACGTATAATTAACTCTTGGTTAAAAATGCCCTCAGGAGAGTCACTGTGGAGTCTCGACGTAGGGCTTCAGTCAACTCTGAATGTGTGTGTGCGGTCGTGTGAATGTGTGCAGACTTTACAGAATACCACGCTAGTGTAAGTGAATTAGCGTAAATGAATTAGCCAATTAAAAGCAATAACACGGCCCAATAGGGAATTTCATATTGCAGACCAGAAGCATTAGACAGCCTTATGAAAATTTGCAAACCACATTTCCCCTGCAGTTGGCGTCATTAAATCCAAGATTTTAAAATCTGTTTTGCATGACTTTCATCAAGCTATTGTGCCAAATTGTACATTTTCTCATAATAGCTCATTTTTGTCTCATATTTTTGGCTTTATATCACAATTTCGTCTATGTCTCACAATTGTGACTTTATATGTCCCAATATATCTAATTGGGAGTTTATAACAGTATGATGACTTTATATCTCATACTGTGAATTTGGTCCAAATTTAACCTTTATCTCATAACTTTTTCTCTGCTTTTGCTTTTTAATCTGAGGAAACAAGTTACCATCATAGTCAAATCTGAGAGCTAACAGCAATGTATTTGTGTATAATGTTGAAGAATATAACAGTATCTGTTCAGTATTGAACCTGTAATGCTTGCAGTTTTTCTCATGAGAAAATTGTATCCTACTTCTTGCCATAGCTTTGTTCTTTTAGAAAATGTAATGCAGAAAATCTGTAATATTTCTGCTGTGAATAAATTGATTTCCACATAACAAGTGGCAAAGTCTCTTTTTCTGTTCTTAGTGGGCTCATCAAATATTTAAGAGAGTTGAAGAAAAGAAATCACTTTTGTTTATGGTTTATGTGTGTTCTGTAAGGAAATTAAGGGGGGAAATGATGCCTTCTGTTCTCTGTTGCCCCCTATGATAAATTGGTCCCAGAACGCTTTTTCCATTACCATCATAGAAAATTGGAAAAATTGATTGTGTGGTGGTATAAGTGTTTATTTTCTCTACTTTTCATATACAGTATAAAGTTGAAGTTTTATAGTGGAATTCCAATGGGCCATTTTAGAACATCTAGCCCAATTTAAAGGAATAGTTCACACAAAATTGAACATTTACTCTGTCAGACCATCCAAGATGTAGAAGAGTTTGTTTCTTCATCAGAAGAGATTTGGAGAAATTTAGCATTGCATCACTTGCTCACCAATGGATCCTCTGCAGTGACTGGGTGCCGTCAGAATGAGAGTCCAAATAGCTGATAAAAACATCACAATAATCCACAAGAAATCCAAACGACCGCTCCAGTTCATCAATTAATGTCTTGTGAAGTGAAAGGCTGTGTGTTTATAATAAACAAATCCATCATTATGGCATTTTAACTTTCAACTATCACTTCTACAGAGTCTGTAATCTATAATAACACTTCCTCTAGTGAAAAAGACCATCCCCTGTTGTCCTCTCACATCAAAATCCACAACATATTTGTTTAGACCTGTTATTGACTGTTTTCACTCATAAACAGTGCTTGGTTTGTGCATATTTCTCTCCTGATTCAGACGAGATTACTTTTTCACTGAAGAAAGCAATATTTGTTTGAACTTAGAAACATCTTAATGATGGATTTGTTTCTTACAAACACGTAGCTGTTCACTTCACAAGATGTCAACTGATGGACTGAAGACTTGTGGATTACTTGTGATGTTTTTATCAGCTGTTTGGACTCATTCTGATGGCACCCATTCACTCCAGAGGATTCATTTGTGAGCATTTAATGCTAAATTTCTCCAAATCTCTTCTGATGAAGAAACACTAGATTTCCATTCCGACCTGATATGTTTCCCAATATGTAGCTGTGTAGATTGTTAGTTGCTAGTGCTTGGTACCAAAAAAAAAAGCAGAACGTTCAATGATGGTTGAGTTCCATAGCTTTTAGGAATGTTTTGGGTAGGACTTCTGTTCGTGATTATTTGTCGCTGTATCTGTAATCTCTTAATCTTAATCCAACACCAACCACACTTGTGTTTTCAGTGAATAACTCATGCCTACTTTATCAACTCCAATTGCTCAATATCTTGACAGAAAAAACATTTCCTTTATTAAAGCAAGGCGAGAAATCTTTTGCTTTTGTTCTCAGGAATAAAAACACCGAAAGTGAGGCATGTTTTCTTTCATTTGAATTGTTTAAACTCCCGAAAACGAGATCATTCAGGCGCACCCATGGGATGAGGTGAGTGGTGTGCATATAATCTGTCTATTATATTCTTTTCTTCTTTTGCCAAGTTTCTCACTCTGTCTGCATTTGTTTTTTGGATGCCGTGTCCCAGACAAAAAGTATAGAAGCATGCTTTGATTTATTTAAACGCAACCTATATTGCACTTTGTGCTGTTCTCGCAAGACTGACGTGTGAGAACCAAAGAGTGTCTAGAAATGCCCTGCAGCGCGTTTATTTATATTTAAAAGATAACATTTATTTTGATAAGAATGGAAGCGTGTCTTTGAAACGAATTCGAGAATGTTTAATATTGATCTTCACTCTGCGCTTTTGAGAAGTTCAATGAAAAGTTTGAATCTAAGAATTTGACATACTGTACTCACACTTATTTACATTTCTATCACTCAGCTTTGTTTCTCTGACTTTTGCACATTCTTTTTTTTCCCGGCAATGTTACAAAGAAGGTTTTTATTGTAGACAAGGACAAAGGAGATCTTATACATAAATGCATTTTCTCTTACAGGGTCTTTCAGATGACCACCATTCCTTCCTTTTTCCTACACGAAACTTTGAAAAGCTTCGGCAGCTCATGCAGTCACACAGATTCGATTCAGTCATCTCGCAGAATCCACCGTGCTCTGGCGATTTAGCTCGATTTTGACAGGCTTTGTATTTTATTGTGCTACAGATGAATACGCCGCTCTCATTTATGCATGACCAGCCACAAAACGGCTAAAAAAAACCACTTCAGCTTTGAAGGGATGACCAAGCGTCTTGTCGTATAGAAATAGCTCTTTTGAATACTAGTGGATACCAGGGTTGTAAAAAGGTATTGAGAAACATTCCTTAAATTAAAGTATGTGTACTTTGTCAACATTTTACATCCTTATCTAGAAAACAACATACTTAAAATTATATAAAAATTTATAATATATTTAATATGATATATTAATAAAAATATTATTTATGTGCAATTTTTAACAATTATATGCTTGTAGTTTGACCATATATATATATATATATATATATATACATTTTCAGT